TCCGCCGGGCTCCCTTACGTCCCACCAGCAAACAGCCTCCCCGGATGTACGGTCTACCCAAGATCAACAAGCCGGGGACACCCTTGAGACCCATCGTTTCGTGAGCGAGTTCCTTTGCCTGCAACCTCTCCAAGCATCTAGCCGGGATCCTGTCCCCGCTTACCGGTAACACACCTAATACTGTGCCCAACTCCACAGCTTTCGCAGAGTTCCTCCGCGGGCAGCACATCAGCAGCCATGAGGCGTTGATCTCTTTCGACGTTGTGTCCTTGTTTACCAACGTCCCCATAGATGGCGCTTGCTGTGTGGCCCTTCGTCGCCCGGAGGAAGACCTTGAGTTGCCTGACCAGACATCGCTCTCCCCTGCTGAGATCGTCTCCCTGCTAGAGTTTGTCCTGCGTTCCACGTATTTCCTGTACGATGGAGCGTACTACGAACAGACAGACGGAGCAGCCATGGGTAGTCCGGTGTCAGCGGTTATTGCCAATCTGTACATGGAATCGTTCGAGGAGGAAGCCCTGCAGAGTTGCCCACCCGACTGCCGTCCTACCCTGTGGAAGCAGTATGTCGATGACACCTTTGTCATTGCACCATGGGATCAAGCCAGCCGTCTACTCAACCACCTGAACAGCCTCAAGCCCGGCATCCAGTTCACCATCGAGAATGAGCAAGACAACAGCATCGCATTCCTGGACACTATGGTCCACAGGGAACCCGACCGCAGTCTGACCAGCACCGTGTATCGCAAGCCTACCCACACCGTCCAGTACCTGGCCTTTGACTCACACCACCCAGTGTCCATCAAGAGGGGCGTGGCCAAGTGCCTACATGACCGCACCTCACACCTAGTCACCAGACTGCACCTTCATCCGGCAGTCATCAAGACCCAAGACTAGCACCGAAGTGGAACGACCGGAGTACAAGGCTTTCACCACTCTTCCCTTTGTGGACGGTATCTCCGGACGGCTGAAGAGGATCCTGGAGGACCACGGCATCCGCACCGTGTTCCGATCATCCACCACCTTGAGGAACCAACTCGTGCATCCTAAGGATCCCATCCCACCCGGAAGACGCGGAGGCGAAACTGGCAGACCAATTGGCGAGAGAATCAAGGAGCACCAACACGACGTGAGACTCTCCCGTGTGGAGTCGTCAGCAGTAGCCAAGCACACCTGGGGAGCTGGTCACCACCCCAATTGGAACAGCGTGCAGTGCGTGGACCAAGACCAGCATTGGTACACAAGACGCGTCAAGGAGGCCATCCACATCCGCCTGAATGGACACAACATCAACAGAGACAGCGGCATCGACATCCCAGGGTTCTGGCTCCCCACCATCCGCCAACACAACACACGAGGACACGCCCCCTCACGCCCATGGAGTAGAACGTGCGACGCCCACTGAGGTCACCCGTACTGCGTCCGCAATACACGGCAGGGGACACGCGGAGGACGCGGTCCAGCGGTATATAGCGGACTCTGCAGCATCCAGACTTCAGTTGCCTGATGAAGGCTAGCAGCACCAGCAGCCGAAATGTCGCTACCAGCAACACGACACCGAGAGTCATCGATTATCTTTTAACTGTAATTCTTGAGATATTGGACTATGAATTACAACTCTAACATGGCTTTATGCGGCCACTGATGACATCACTGAGACAAAAAGCTTCAGTAAACATCTTCAAATGATGAACAGAAATTACTCTAAGGCTCCATTGATTAGATTACAGCACCAAAGATATAATATGGACAATGGCGAAAAAGAAAGAAAAAAGGAAAAAAGTAGGAAGGAACCAATCTTTTAATCAACTCCTTTCTGGAAAAAGTTAATATCTCCACTCAAGATTCAAGTGCCCACTAAATCATTCGGTTATTCTGCACAAAAGCCCAATCAAATGGGTAAGTGCATAAAATCAAAAGAAGTACCACTGTCAGCATACAGAGGAACTTTAACAATAAACACAAACAAGAAAAATCCTAAAAGTGCCAGTGTTTTTAAAAATGTGAAAGGCTAAATTTCATGAAACCAGAGGGACTGTCGGTATCAATGCGAGTCTCAGTGTGCCACACAAGAGTCTATACAGTACGTCCAGCAGTCTTGGGGGGAGGGAGCTCATCAGTTTCCACCAGTGGCAAGATCCAAAGAAGTCAGAGTCTTGACCTTCCTGGTCTTGACGTTCCTGGTCTTATGTCTCATTCCTGGTCTCCCTCACCTGTCCCAGTCTCCAGATCTGCACCACCATTCACTTGCAGTGGCCACCAGAAGTACACCACACACACTCTTGTAATATTTTCCTTTACAGTAAGTGCATCAGAACTACACCTCATTCCTTTTCAACTCTAAGTTTACATTTAGTCAAGGAGGTGATTACTACAACCCAACGTGACATAAAGGCTTGAGCAACAGTCTCAGCTGTGATGTCTGTACGAGGTATCGCCTCTGGCCAGCGTGTATAGCAATTGACACGTCAGTAGATAAGTGTAACACTCCCAGTGAGGATGCGGTCCGACCAGGTCAATATGAACATGATTAAAACAGGCATCTGGAGTCGAGAATGTGCCGAGAGGGGACTTCGTGTTACGATTATCTCAGACTATTGTCAGGAAGACAAGACTTTGTCCATGTTTGGACTTCAGTGTTGATACCAGGCCAGATGAAACATGCTGTAAGTAACTTCTGTGAGGCTCGTGTTCCAGGATGAAACAAGTTGTGGAGAACGTGGAAGACCTGTCGACGAAATGTCTTCGGGATGAACGGATGTGCAACCCCAGAAGAAACATCACACACGATCTCACCATCCGAAGTGTGGAGGGGAACTGACTCAAAAAGCAAAGATGAAGTGCTGCTTTGAGTTGCTGAAGCTCTTCATCTTTCTCTTGAGCACTGGCTTTCTTTGCAAAATCAATCTGTGCTGAAGCGTTGACTGTGTTCACCTTGTAATGAGATGCATTGGGATACATAGTCGAGGTGACGTATCTCCCTGGGAGAGTAGCAATCAGGAGATATATTGAGGGAGTAGGTCACACTAAGAAATTTGGATTGGTTAAAATGGGGTTAAATGTCGTTTCTCGGTTAAAATGTATTCCAACCTGATTTTAACCCCATTTTAACCGCATAGATCAAGCCAAAATGTTCACCCCATTTTAACCGTGTTTCAACCGAACCCACCACCCTTTGTTATTCAAGCTTTAATCTTCTTCTGGTCCATCAACAGTCCAAACGAACAGTCACCCATTCTAACCATGTTTTAACGGCGGAGAGATGGTGTGCTACAAACCGCAGAGTCCCGTGGGATAATTCCACTTATTACCTAATAAAGGAGCGGTTTAGGGGGAAATGTCAATCATTTTCCCTATGTTCCACATGTTGGAAATTGGCTTTAATGTATTGGCGTGTGGAGGTATTTGTGCACCCATTTACACAATAAATTCACTGATTTTAAACAAATAACACAAAGAATTGAATTGTTTGAATAAAAATGATATATGTTTCTGGAATAGTTTAGTTATAATAAACTGAAGTTTTATTGGTATAGTTACCGTTCATTAGTCCTTAATGACAATTAATCGGAAGTGACTGTTTTCTGCATGCACAAAATCAATCATGCTAGCGCTAAAATTCAAGATGGCGGCGCCCATAATCCAATGTTAACCATTCATCAAGACCGCAAAAGCTTTTACCGATTAAAACTCCCCAAGGCAGTTTCATACCGCCGGCCCATAAGCCCCAACAAATTGGCAAGAACCTGGCAATCCAAACCATCTGCAGAAGAATCTGGAATAATTCATCCCAGTTTTGAGAACGAACTTCCTCATTCCATAATTTCTCCAGCAGACAGCGTCACAGCTAACGGGCTGCCCTAATGATACAGCTGTAGCTCCCCGCCTGCCTATGTGCTGAATCGCTGGGCAGGTCATGTCATGCGTGTACACTGTTGACTACTGCATGATGCGTGATATCGAAGGCAAGCTTTTCTGCATGTGCACGGGCTGGGTTGGCAAAAAGGTGTAATGGGGCAGATGCGGACATGAACCGATATTGTGGCGGGTGGCGATCACCTCGACCGGCTTGTTTTGGCCAGCCGTCAGTATATTTTTAGTCAAGGAATTACTCATTCTCACCTTCTTCAACTTAAACCTTACACTGCACTTTTTGATCTACAGTCTACGCCAAATTCCTGGTTAAAAATCTCTCAATCCCCCGTCCCCAAGCTTAAAATATCCTTTTCATTATCATCTCAGCCAATAGCAAGAATGAAAAAGGCCTCATATGCAAATAGGGGCCGTACCTGTACGCGAATGGCCCAAAATATACTTTCCCCTGGAGTTGCCGTCGATCGAGCGTGATCAGCATCCGATCAAAATTCATTTTGAACGTCCATTTCTAACTTTATTGGCTAAGTCTGGAACGTAAAGGCGTGCATCTTGGAGATTTGCATGCATAATGTTTTTCTGAATATACATAAGCACAAATGTACTGAGAATTTAGTATTGTAAGGCGGCTGAAATGCCATACCTACATGTACATGTACATGTACACTGTAACTTTACATGATAAATTCACTGATTTTTGTACATATACAGCAATGAATTGATTGAATAAAAACGATAACTGTGTCTGGAGTAGTTTATTTTGAATTCTCACCATCATATGATGCGGGGCCATCTAAGTTTACTGTAAATGTACGTAATACATGTACTTGCACGTGTGCATGTACAGTCCCGAGCTAGCTAGCTCTTTTTACAAGGCTGCAGGCCTGGCTGAAATACTCGGGCATCAATAGATTTTGTCTGTCAGATTACAGTAGCCACCAGACTGTCATTCATGAGGGTGCAAATGTCCAAATAATTGAAATGATGAATTTCTGAAGAATTTTGCTCATTGAAAATCTTGAAAAGGTCCCGTTTGTGTGCACTGCATTTTTCAAACAACCCGGCAGCACATGGTTAACCTGGACGAAACCCTGGTGTGCTGCATCAAGTATGATGTCCTTGTTTTTCTTCCTGAACTTAAGAATGTCAATAAAGGCATCGACAAAAGGTAGGCCACATAGTACCTCATCAATAAATCACTGAAAAGTTTACGCTGCATTACACAGGCCAAAAGGCATGCGGACAAAGTTGTACAACCCAAAAGATGTTGTGACAGCCGTCTTGTGTACATCACTTGGGTGTATGGGTATCTGATGGTAGGCTCTGACGAGATCCAGTTTGGAAAATACCTTTTCCCCTTGAAGACCTGTTATGCAATTCTGCAAATGGAGTATTGGATAACAGTCAGGAACCGTAGCTTAGTTAAGCACCCGACAATAGCTGCAAGGTCTCCAGTCGCCTGGCATCTTCTTGGGGACTATAAACAAGGGGGAGGCCCAATTGCTGTCAGAGGGGCTGATTATACCCAGTTCAGCCATATGTTCAAACTCAGCCTCTGCTGTACTATAACAGTCTGGGGCCAACCGACATGGTCCCACTGACTCTGGTGGGCCACAGGTGTCGATATGGTGTGTTGTTGTGTGTTTGACAGTGGCACCATGGAAAACTGGATCCATGATGTCTGGGTACTGCCGCAGGATGTCGTTGAAATGCGAGGCACTCTCAGTTTCAACGAACATTGGGCATACTGAGGGTGTCAAGGAGACAGTCCCATTGACCGTGAGGCTGGTGATGGCATCAATGAGGAGCTTATGGTGTTTAATGTTGTACAGCAGCTCGAAGTGTTGCAGGAAATCAGCGCCGAGAATGGGAGTTGGAAAATCAGCGATTATGAAAATCCAGCGGAACGTCTTCAGAAGACCAAGGTTGAGCATGAGGGACTTTCACTGCGTGTTGCGATTGGTGACTGGTTAACTGCTTGGACGGTGAGTGTACTAGGTGTGCGTTGCTCCTGGGCCATGGACAGCCAGATGCTAACCTCTGCTCCCATGTCAACCAGAAATCTTGTAACAGTGACTTGATCAGTTACAAAAAATAGGCAACCCTCAAGCTGACCAACCGTCTTAGTTGCCGCTAGCGGCTGGTCTATCCATTTCCCTGGTCATTATCACTTGTATCTGGAGATTGATGGAAGGTGCAAGGAAGTGTGCACTTTTTAGTGTGCTTACCATAATGCCAATGATACCAGTAGTCAGTAGATACCTGCAGCATGACGCTGAGCACTTTGGTTGCGTGATTTGCTCTGAGAGTCAGTGTGACTATCCCATCTGTGTCAACCCCGTTGACGATTGTCGGTGACTTGGCTTGTGAGTTGCTGAACTTGCAGAGAAAGTTGTTGAATCTGCATTTGTAATTGTTTTACCTCAGGTAAAGTGACTGGTGGGAGGGGACCGGCAGCAGCAGTGTGGAAGTGCTGGGCTGACATGGCAGCAATGGAGGGTACGCTAGGTATGGGAACTTCCACAATCTTATCCACTATGTCTGCAAGCTGTTCAATTTTGACTGCGTCGGTGGTCGAAGCAAAGATAAATTAGACATTGCAAGGAAGGTGCTGTAGAAACAACTGCTTCAGGATCCGCTTTCAAGTTTACCATCACCCAGCACTTTTTTCAATTTTGCACAGCTGCTATGATGGTTTCCAGTCCCCAAGCTTCTCGGAGATAAGAAGCTTATGCAACTTCTTCTGTTCTGATGCCGAAGTGCGTCAAATTAACTCTGCCTTCAAGGTTTTGTAGCGCTTAGACTCTGGCGGGTCAATCAGGATATCACACACTTCTTGAGCAATCTCCGGTTGGAATGATGTGATGACATAAGAAAACTTTGTCTCAGGCATCATGATACCTCTTGTTGTGAACTGAGCTTCGACTTCGGTGAACCGAAGCATTGTATCCCCAGGCCAGAAAGGGGGAAGTTTAACACTGACAGCAGCCACAGGGGAAGGGAGGGACCAGAAGGTGCCTGTGTCAGTAGAAGCTGTGCTGGCGTGGTCAGCCTCTTTTCTGGTGGTGGCATTTTGAAAGCTGAATGATGAACCAATTTGTATGATAGGTTTAATGGTTGTAGGCCCCCCCCAAAAAATTGCTTGGTGAGTTGTTAAGATCAAGTCAGGGTCACCAATGTGAGAACTCACTGAAACTCACTGTTGCAAAAGCTACTTGCTGGCACAGAACTCTGCTCTGCTGACTGTGATTGTTCCATGGCCGAGGACTAAGTGTTCTTGTCGTGAGACACGTGTCTGCGGTGTGCAAAAACTGCAAGGCAAGATCGAATCCAGCTCAATGCTGCACTGGTAGTTCACAGTTTCTAGCATAACAAGTTTGGAAAATGTCCACAGGACCCACAGAATATTCTCCCACATGAGGCACAAGAAGGCTAATCCAGAGGTGAAATATCTCCATGAAGTTTGATGAACATGCAAAAGAACTTCCACACACACGGCACCAGAAAGTGCGAGAGAAAAACTCTATCATGAAAGTGTGCGTGGTCACCATGAATGCAAAAAAATATGTACACGTACTGTTCATGTGGTTGACCTGTTGTATGGCAGGCCACATTGGACAACGTTTGTATGGAGGGCAAAGCTAAACAAAATTTGTGCTTTTGTGGTTTACACCAGAGGTATACCACACTACAGTACACTTCTGATTTGATTAAAGTACCCCTCACACTTGCTTGCACCCTATGGTTAAACCATCATATATCTTCAAAATTTTTGAGGGGGATAACGAGTGCTTGTGTGTACCCATGAGCATTTAAGAGACCTTACGGGCACTCCCAAGACAATTATGGTGATGTGGAGTACAACAAACAACAGGCATTAGCAAGGGGCTGCTCATGCATAATGGATGTCCTTGATGGTACCTTGAATAATGGCCCAGTTACAAATCAGCTACTTTTCATAATTGCTACGTCATTGCAACTTTATGGCAAACTAGCAGAGTACACGGAAAGCCACAATGACATTTGCGGTGAAATGCATGAGACTTTGGTTCACGAGGTAAAAATGAACTTCCCTACATAAAAGCCCTTTTTCGAAATTTCGGACAATTACGGTGGTTGTAGTCTCTACACAGTCAACTGAAAATGAACTGTTTCTCCACAACATGCTGAACTAAGGCCAAGATTACCAAATCAAACCGGATAAGCCAATTAGCAGGACAATTTGAAACCTTCATAACCAACCTTTCCAAAGCGACACTAACGCTTTTGAAAAGAGTCTCAACCTCATTTCCACTCCTGCTAAACCAAATGGCTGTCCCACTACAACACAAATATACATGTATGCCCACTTTTGGCTCACAAATTCAATCTTGAACCACATGCAAGTTCCTACAATTCTGTCTCCGGAATCACCCGTAATGCAACTGATCAGTCCTATACGAAGGGACAAAAGCATGCTATTGCTATCAAGAGGATTTGAAAAACAGTCCTCTACTCGCACCACCAGTCAACCGACAAATGAACCAAATAATTGGTAATGTTCTTATGTCCGCTCATAATCCAACTCTCTGACATAAAAAGGCCAGATTTCACATACTCCAACCAGGAGTTATTGCAAGTCACCAGAGACAAAGTGTCACTGAATGGGAAAGTACCATCATCTTTTCACACAGAACCGAAGAGTTGTCCCGCTGAACCAGAGCCGGAGAATGACAAGCAGGCACAGTGACTACCAGAAGGGGATCTGCGATACAGGGAGGCCAGAAGCCCTGATGTAGGAGTAGGTCTAAGGGCCCAGCATCCCTGCGTGAAGGACAGGCCAGATAGGTCGGAGTGGACCCAATCCCAGACGCTGACAGGTATCTACCAGAGCCGCCGTTTTATTGTTTACTTTTGTGATAGTGATTAGGTGAGAAGTAATTGCCAGAAAACAACCAACCACAAAGGATAAGGAAACACTTGCCAACAAGCAACCCACAAAGTCAAGCAGGCCACGCCCAGTCAAACTCAAGGAGCTCAAAATCTACAGCTACTGCAAGCGTTGGGACCTGGCTCCAATGGGGGAGGCCGAAAGCCCAAATGATGGAGTAGGTCCAAGGGCAAGATAGGCTTGTAAAGAATGTACTTTTAATGTCACGTAACCAGTCACATGAAGAAGTCCTTACCACATCAGGTCAATGTTTGTCTAAAACTCTTCCTTTTCCAGAGATCTGCAATGTTTGAACCCAATCGAATATGTACTTCACCAGATACAGTGCTTTGAGGAGAGCACCTTTAATGTCACGACTTGTCTTTTGATGACGTTATTGTCACATCAATTCATTATTTGTCCGAAGAGCTCCCTTTGAAGATAAATGCAAGATTTGAACCCAATCAGACAAGTACTTCAGGAGATGTAGGCCTTAAAGAGTGAACCTTTAATGTCACGTGACTTTTCTCCTGATGACGTCATCCTCACATGAGGTCGATATTCCTCTAAAGCACTCCCTTCTCAAGATATCTGCAAGATTTGAACCTGACTGGACATGTACATCAGGAAATATAGGCCTTTCAAGGGTTCCACTTTAATATCATGTGACTTGTCTCCTCATGACGTCATCATCACATACATGCAAGGTCAATTTTCCCTTAACCACTTCATGCCGGGGCATTTTTCAATGTTGATGATGCTGGGCCGGCATGACTATCATTTTTTCCATTTTCAAAATCTTTCAAAAATTCATCATTTCACTTTATGGTCGTTTATAGCACG